ATTCTCCTGTATACAGAACCTCATCCTTGCTTTGTGAGCCACTTGCCATTTCATCACACTGTGGGGCCAAGTGGTATATATGAGTAGGAAGTCTTTACTGATAGTACTGCTTACAGGAACCAAAATTGTTAAGCACACAAACCCAAAAGATGACAAAAAAAATCTCAGTCAAGAGACCAGAAGAGACTATCACAACACAAATAAACGGTAGGAGAGAGATGGCTTAATTTTTGTTTGAGTCTGTGCTGCCGTCTTACTCAAGTCGAGTTTGTCTGGGTTCTTTCTTGTATAGAATACCTGAACTGACTAAAAATAGCTCACATTTCTTTTGATATTCAAACTGCATCTCTCTCCTGCTCTGAGTGGCTATGTTATGGAAAAATGCAAAGCAGCATGCTCAGTGCTCTTCACTTTTCACAGTCGTGATTCAAAACCACCTGCAGCTAATCCCTTTAAAATATTTTTACATACAGAGATATTTCTACACTTCTGTTTAAATGGGTCATGGTATTTAAAATGGACTATTTATCATGGTTGGAGGGCTGTAAGATGTGTAAACAACTGTTTACTTATCTTTGCTAACTCACTATGTATTAATCAGTTAGATGTAGTCCAACCAATACAGCAACTGAACCCTAAAGCATCTCCATTACTGTCTACTCTCAATTTATTTATTTTTTCTAATCTAAACTGTGTTAAGTAAAACTAAAAGCCACAGTCTGAAAGCACTGGGGGGGAAAAAAAAAAGGACATCGTGCACATTTTCAATGAGCTTTGCTGTCATATTTTTAAAGCAATCTATTAGCATACCTTGACCCTACATATAAAGAAAAGATCACTTACCTGAAACACGCTTTTCGTGCTGTCTGAATGCCAGCATAAATAGGAACACAAGCTTTTCCCCATCAGTATCAGAGGGGAGAACTGACACGAGAAAAGAAGTGGAAAAAAGTATCAGCTTTTGTCCAGCTGCCAGTCTCAGATTGCTCTTCCCATCCTAACAAGTTAGAAAGGCTGAAACCTGGTCAGAAAATATGACCATTAAACAAAAATTTCCACATCCAACGACTGCAAAACAAATGGAAACCTCGCCTATGGGAAGAAAGCTGATCAAAAGTTAAGAGCACAGCTGAACCACAGGACAGATTTTGCTATTCCCTCTTCTCAGCTCATTGACTACTAATTCAAACCAGCCATCTCCAAACTCTGCTCTCAGATACACAGTGCAGAAGAAAGGGGGCGAGAGGTAACATACGAGAACCACACACTTGCACAAATAATTGAGGGGGGCATGATCTTTTGAGCCAACAAAAAAAACCATCACAACCAGACTTTTACCTGTGCAACAGAGCTGCCTTTTCTCTTGCTGGGGTTACCAAAGCCGTGCAAACATCTATTTCAGTCAGGCTGAAATTAGCCTTCTGTTCTGCAGTCCTAATGAAAGTAGAATCACATCCACAGGGCCAGGAGCTTATGCAACAACCATATGGGGCATTCAAAACAGGAGAAAAAAAAAAATTTCAAGTGTCAAGTCTTGTCTAGGTTAAAAACAAATCATCCTTCGTAAGGTTCCACACATTTGCCAGTTTTATTGGCATGAAATCTGCAAAAAAAAAAAAAAAACAGTGGGGTGAGGAAATGGCCCTACCAAATCCTTATGGGTCTCTGAGGAAGAAACAACATTAGACAGACTCGCTGCAAATGGCAGCAACCAGGAGAAAGGCAGACAGTGCTGTAACCAGGACACGGGAAAAAAAGAATTTCCCATGGAGAAACTCCAAGAGGAGTTAGTCAAGGGATTAAAATGAAAATAAGGAAAATTGTTAGAAAAAGACTAATCTGACATTTTACTAAGGAGAGAGGGGTAGATACTGCTTTTGGGAAACCGTTGATAATTCAAGGAGCTACCTTACATTCTGTCTGAGAAATCCTGGCTGACAAAGGAAAACTAGAGGCACAGCTTGAATCTTGAGGGGAGACACACACACGAGGCAATATGCTCTGTGTCATTCCCAGACACTGCCCCCCCAAAGAAAAACAAAACACGTTATTTTTTCACCGCTAAGAACAGAGAGCTGCATTTCCCCAAACCCCATTTACTTACAGACATTCTAGGTTCAGGCTTGGATTACTGACACTGCTGATGTTGCCTGCATGAGAAAACCCCCAATCAGATTTAAGTAAAAGAGGCTCTGTCCCTCAGGCTGTAGATCAAATGATCTTGGGCAATTCTGAGAATAAAGCAAGTCTTTCCTTCCCTTTCACTTCTTGGGAATCTCCAAAAGCAGCAGAAATGAGGCGGCAAATAAACGACATGCTGGATGAGAGAGAAAGGAGAAAGATAGCTTTTTCTTGCACTTTCTCTGCAGCTGATCTTGCTTTGTTACAAGTCAGGGCAATTAAGGCGCTCTGGAATCGACAACACTCGATCATCCTCAGGAAAAGCCAGGATCCTGGGTAAACGCTATCAGTGAGCTTTGTCACGGCGCCAACAGAAGCAGAAGAGCAGACACAGCAGAATGCAGTTTCTGGATTTGAGGGCCCAAATGGCAAACCCCAAGTGGCCTCCCAGCAGTGACTGACATATGCAGACCTTAAGCTACCTGTTACTGACAGAAGCCCTCTCAAATCCATGGTCCTACAACAGCATTAAAGAAATACAGAATGGAGAAAAATAAAGCACCAGGAAGATGAGTCTCAGTTTTCAATTTAAAAGGTACCTTACCCCTAAATACTAGAAAACGTCTAAAGAGATCACATATAGTGTTTCATTTTACTGGATTAGTGTTACCAGTAACAGAATTAGGCTGGGACATGACAACTCAGTGAAAGTTGTTTATTCTGGACTCCAAATGCTAGGAATTCATTTAAAAACCCAATATTCCATGAATAATGCACTCCATTCACAATTTGAAGAACATCTGAAGCATTCTCCAGTTCAGACAGCTGATCCAAATCACCTCAAAAATTACACACACGAACCAACAACAAGCGTCATTACAGTGACAAAGAACAGACAAGAAGGGATTTATGTACCCTCAAAAAAAATGCAGAAATTGATGGGACTTCAATGCATTTTTCTAAAAGAGGAATCATCTGGCCTGGGAGAGGACCAGTTACTTTCAGCTGATCACTGTATGGCAGCAGGGAGAGCTCAGAAATCCCTCTGCCTGAAGAGCACACTGCTTCCTGACAATCTGGTGTCACCCAGTACACTACCAGTGAACTAGTCTTCTGGGATTTGCAGAATAGAATATTGTTACCCATACTACAGAAAGTTCTGAACCAGGCATACAGTTGCAGTTTCCAATTTTGAGTCAATTTTGATAAGAAAAGGGACAAGCGAGGGGGAAAAAACAAAAAACAAACAAAAAAAATCCCTCAAACCCCCGCCCCTCGCCAAACCTCGAGGCAGACAGGGATGACTCAGTTTTTTAACCACCTCCATGGCCAGGCACAGGAGTATCAACAGCTGGTGTTTGGGGAGCACATAGCAACACCCTATTTACTACAGAAGAAACTACAAAATAATCTGTTTTCCCAAGAAAACAGAGAGGAAAGAGACACCCGCCTGAGGCTGAACTGTCAGGGTATCGGCCACCTGACTGACAAATGAAAGATTTCTGCAGAAATACATCAAGGAGAAGTTGCCATAGCCATTTCTAACTCCTCAGGAAAATAAGCTTCACACACTTCAGTTTCCACAGGTTGCAGAAAGGTGACATAGGCAAGCTGCCCCTGGAAGACACAGAAGTGGACACTGTATCAGTCACTTTAAATGAGAGGAAAACAAAAGTGTTCAAAGGACTAAACATAGCTTAAGGGCAGTCTGAGCTCACAGTTTCCTGTAAATCTGGATTGAGGCCGACATTCAGATTCACTTCAGCAAAGATACCATTTCAAACTGGAGCGACAGGTTCCCAAGCACAACAACAGGGATTCTTGAAGAGAATCTAGCAAAATCTCAATTGCACGACCAAAGCATATCTCTGCTGCAGTATATTCCATCTCAAAACACAAAACTCCGCACAATCATTAAGCAATTCCCCCCCACCCCACCATCCATACTGGTCAAGCATAAAGAACCAAAAAAGAAAAGGACACTTAGATTTCAAATACTTTTTTAATGTCTTAAAAAGGTCACAAGATTTCTTTCAGTCTTATTAATAAATTTTATTTGGACAAGTAGAGAACAACTTGTATCACAACAGCTTTAAACAACATGATTAAAGACTGCAGCACTCCAAGGAGGCTCACAGATATGTACAGTATAGGAAGAAAAAAGTTGCACCTCAGAGCCGATCATGATCAAGTTAAAAATACCTGACTTAAAGTACATGTGCTAATAAATTTCCTTTAGGTCATGACCAGCATGAAAATAATTAGGACACAGGTACTCAGCAAAGTTTTCTGCTAATGGATACAGCAATATGCTGCATTTAAGGATTAAAATCAAATTCTAGTTTAGTGTTAGCACTGAGCCCTTAAGAGAAATCCAAATTTCTACTTTTCCCCATTTACACACACCAAAGCTATTCCCACTTAAGGGTGTGCCCAGCTGCACACAAATCAAGTCCTTGAATGATAAAAACTTTTAGCGCTAATACTGGAGGTCTTACATCCTGGTATAAATTTGCCTTTCTGGTTATTCCATCTATCGGTTGCTACAGAAAATACTTGCTAAGTTAACTCCTCAGGAGAAACACAATGCAGGTCTCTGGAAATCACATCCTTTCTACAATGAAAATGATCTGCCAATTCAAGTTTCATTTGTTCAGGAAGACAGAAGATTTAAGGCTTCGGTGGCAAAAATAATCCTCTGAGCAATGTTTTTCTAAAGTCAAGATGACATAGGTAACGTTTACTTTTTCTTGACTTAAAATCCCTGGTTATCAGGTTTAGATAACATCCACCTGTTAAGTCTGGCAAGAAATCTCTCCTTCCGAAGAGGCTGTCCTAGATCATCCATTTTAGGAGCATTTGAGGATAGTTTGTTTTAATTTTTAATTATAGCAACATTCAGGAACTTTTTAGTAAGTTGATGAAGCAGTGCTCATGGCATCATCTGCAATTTTGGTACTGGCAGGATGTATGCTTGCAAAATACTTGACATCACTGTCGTCATCCATTTGTAGCGCCATAATTGTTTGCTCCACAGCTTCTTGATGAGAGTTGGCAGAATTTAGAAAATATTCTGTAAGAGAAAATGGAAGAGACTTACGGGAAGAAAAAATAGCAGCTACTTCAACGCAAACCTCAGCATGCTCTCGTAGGTTTCAAAATCTCAGGAGACCACACATTGCACATGTATGGTTAAACCAGAACGTTTGAGCAGGCACGCAATACACTTCTGAATATACCCACAAAATTCACTTTACAAAAATCACTGCATGTTTCAGATGATAAGGGCATAGTTGCTCTAATAGTGCTAGTAGAGTACAAGATTTCTGCACTCCTTCAGTGTAAAAGACTCCACAAGCAAGGAGGAAAAAATATCCCTGCAAGAGACTCGGAAGGAGCATGTGTATATTTGGGATGGAGGAAAGGTATCACAAACCCATGGATGTGCCGTTCCATTCTGCTAGCAGGCTTGCCAAATAATTATCCAGCAATAAAATGAGGGTAACGTGAAAGAAGAACGGAAGAAGTCCCAACTTCTGACAACTATTCATGAACTACATGACACAAGTTGTATAACAACAGCGTAACTACAAACAGACTGTGGGAAAGGTAAATGATTCTCTGCAGTTTAACAAATTCTGAACTTATTTTTTAAATCTATCTTTCATAATCTATCCACCACCCCTAATCATACACACAACCTCTTGGAGGCAAGGACCGTATCAAAAGCTTGCAGAAAGGCAATGCAAAATGGAGCTGGACCATCCAGGCGGGGAACACAAAACAAAGCCGACGACAAACAAAATACCAATACTACACGACAACAGCAATAATATTAAGGGCCTTGACACAGTCAACAGAGGATAACAAATTACTGCGCATCAGCTGATCCACGGTAATTGTCTACAGGTTTACTCAGGGCCTCCAGCATATACAAGGCAGCTATTGATAATCTACCTCTGAGTTGGCATTCTTCGCACTGTTGAGTATTTTAATCATTTTGCATTTTTCCTCACACTATTTCTACACTTCCAAAAATTTTCTGTGCTAGAAACAGCAGTCTCAAGTCAGTATACGTTTCTGAGGAAGAAAGTCGCCAGAACTGAACAAGGTATTCCAAGTGTGGGCACACTTCACTTGTTTACAAAATGGCATATTTGTTATGGTATTTTCCGTGACAGTGCTTTGGCATCTGAGCTCTGCTGACTTTTCTGGCATCTGCTAGGCGGTGGGAATGCTTTCCTAAGCAAAGCCTGCGATTTGAAAAAAGCAGCATGTCTAATTCCCCTGTAGAGTCTCTAGAGAAACCTTCTTACTGCCACCATAAAATATTAAAACAAACAAACAAACAAACAGCAGCAGTCTCTTTTCCCCAGTGAGAAAATAGATGCTGGATTTGTACGGAAGGATTTTTCCTCTCTATCCTTATGACGCACAGCATCGACCAAGCTCTTTTTTTTTTAAACCAAACAAAGGGCATTGCTCAAACACTGCCCAGTTGCTAGTTATTTCATTCATGCTTTCTGTGCCACGATAATCCCTATAAACTAGTTCATACAGGGGAAATGGTGCAAGAAAAACAGGCTGGCATAGGAGGAAGAACTCATATATACCCAGTGTTACAGAACAGCGGCTCTGACACCAGCAGCAAGCTTCATGGTTTTATATCAGCCAGGGTAACACCCCCACACCACAGAGACTGCAAAAGCAAGAGTGACCCACATCGGCTGCTCTTTCTTTTTTTCCCAGCTGACTACAGGAAAGGAGAAAGACAGAAAATAACTAACAAAGATGATGCACAATCAGCCCGTTGCAACTATTTCTGACCACTAACCTTTCTCTAAAAGGGTTTGCTTTAACGTTTTTGCAAGCAGCACTCGAACATTTGGAACCCTATCAGATGCCAAGTGCAATAAGTGTGGCAACAGATGCACTGCAAACTGGTCCATGGGCAAGCAGTCATCTTCACTGATAGTCTGGCAAGAAGAGAGAAGCAATTTCGTTAGATTTCAGCACAGAGAGGATAAAATCCCAACAGATACCGGAGCAACAGCTGGAAGACCTTATTACCTTCACAGAATAAATACAGTATCTAGCATCAACAAAGTTTTGAAATATGGTACAATACTTTCGAACATGAAGTCATACATGATGAAGCAAAACAGGTCTGAAAAAATGCAGACTCAGTTAGAAACCTGTATTATTTTGCATAAGATCTAACAGCTTCTTAAGTTCTTATCACTGTAGCATTTGATAACAAGGAAGAAAAATAAAAGACCTTCCCAACACTTATATAAAGATCGATTTAGTCTTTGTTGTAACTAGGTATCAGGTTAAGACAAGAACGTTTATCCTAACAAACACCCACAGTAGCCATACGTTTCTCTAAATAAGCTCAAAGCTCACATTTATCTAAATACTTCAGAGTTCAAACTGTCTCACTTGGGCAACTGTCCTGTTGGTTCCCAGTCTGCTCCTCTGCTACGGTCTCCAAATTTGACCACTCCCCTACCGCACTAGCTAGTTTCAACTCTTCTGTTTATTTTTCCGAGAATACTTTCTTTCAGAAAAAGCTGTGTTAGCTGGCTAACGAGGTATAGGCAACTTCCAGCACTTGATTTTTAAAGGATCACCCAAAATAGTAACAAGCAGCTGCTGCAGCATGTTGTCTCATTAACACGAAAATCTCACTTCATGCTGAGTCACAACTCAGGCATCATTGGGATTATTTTATTATGTGCGTGTTTTACGTTCAGAGCCAGTTCTGACAACCTGAAGTTAATACGCTAAACTGCAGATTCACGCAAAAGTGCTAGGCGATTAGTTGATTAACCAGCCATCAGAACCATGTCTAGTAATGGTATCTACTCCCAAGTAAGCAGATAGATTTATTTTGCAGCATCTCCATGCAAGCTCAACTATAGAGCAACACTGAAGAAAATAGGCTATGAATTCTATCCCCTGGGCAAGAAGTTCTTAAATATTCATGAAAAAAGTATCGACAGCTAAAGAGCTCCAGCTGCTCGTCTTCCCTGCCAATAAAAAAAACAGATGAACAAAATGACTTTTTACCTGGCAGATAAAGACAAAAGTTTGCCGACCGGACCATTTGCGGCATCTACAGAACTTTTCAACAAGTTCATCCATGAGGTCTACCACAAAAGTTGACGTTGAAGCCATATACAACTTTTTTACCATTTCGCTAACCTGTAAAAAAAAAAAAAATGGGAAGAGATAAATATATAAAAATTACTTCTGACTGCCACGCCCTGAAGTTTGAAATTTACTTAGATTGCTTTTCATTGATATTCATTACCAGCTTGTAAGAAATCCAACGGACAGAAGACACTTTGTCTGCACACAGGCTGAAAGCAATAGGCCGCAAGTAGTCATAGATGTCTCTGGCACTGTAGAGCTCTAAAAGCAAGATGAGCTGCCTAAAAGATAGAAGACAAAGCACAGAGCACATGAGAAATATGACAAAAGTAATCTTTAACTGTGAAAACGATAATTTATATGGCCTCACTTGCTGTGCAACGCAATATGGCCATAATAAAGTTACTGAAGAGTAAAATGATCATCTTCAGCACCACCAGTTCCACCATGGATCACCTGTAGGTTTTAAATTGCCACTGACCCACGTAATGACGAAATGCTGAAAGATCTCAAAGAATGAGGTATCTGGGAAAGAGGCAGGGGAACCAACATTGCATTTACAAGAGAGAGACCCTGATAAAACATGCATGCAGCACAGCAATCCAGCTGAATGACACTGTGGCTTGCACGTGCATTCTCGTAACGGATACAGACATCTCGCACATGTCTACAAAGCGCTTCTAAGCGACTGTGGAGACTTATCAAAATACGGATACTTTTTTACTCTACAACCCCCAGGGTCTTTTCAGCAGAGCTGCTCCCCAGGTAGTCAGTCCCCAGCCTGTTTCATTGCCAGAGGCTCGCTCTTTCCATGTGCCGGACTCGGCATCTGTCACTCACTGGATTTTGTAAGGCCCCTGAGGGCATCAGCTGGTCCCCTCCATTTGGCGTCATCAGCAACCCTGATGACAGCGCACGCCGTTAACTCCTCCCTGTCATTGGTGAAGGTATTAAACTGGAGAGGTTCCAGGACAGACGCCTGTGGTACACCACTTACGACTAGACTCCAGGTAGAGCAAAACCCATTAACAACCACTAGCCGAACCCAACCATCCAGCTACTCTTTTTTATCCGTCTAGTTTCCAGCCATTCAGATCATAATGTCCTAACCTGGATATAAGAACACAGTGAGAGCATCAAAAGCCTTACTAAAGCAAAGATAAATGACATTAACAGCTCTCGTCCCGTCCACAGATTCAGTTACATCATCATAAAAGGCAGTCAGGCTATTCAGACATGATTTTCTCTTGGTAAATTCATGCTGACTGTTTTCATGAAGGAGTCCTCCTCTTTCATGTGCCCAGAAATAGCTTTCAAGAGGGCCTGCTCCATCATGTCTCCAGGGATGGAAGTGAGGCTGATGAAAGTGCAGTTCCACCTGATTGTCCTTCTGGCCTTTTTTTTTTTTTTTTTTTTTTTTTAAAAGACAGGTACAATGTTTGCCTTTTTCTTGTTGCCAGTGACCCGCCCTAATATCCACAACCTTTCAAAGGTGATAGAGAATGGCCTTGCTATTACATGAGCCAACTCTCTCGGCACTCTCAGTTGCAGCCTTCCTGGTCTGATGAATTTACATGGGTTGAGTTCTCTCAAGTAATCCCTCAGCTCTTCCTCAATCACCCTTGAACTTTGCCTCCAAGCACAGAGACACGGGAGCAACTGTCAGTGAAGACTGAGGCAAAGGAGGTACCAAGTACTCACTAAATCACCAGCCCTATTCAGCAGTGGTCCCACATGTTGCTTGTTTATTCTTCTGTTGTTAATGCATACAATAAAACAATGCAAACAATAAAAGATGTAGCAGTAGCTACATCTTGATACCCTTGCAAGACTCAGCTCTAGTTGAGCTTTGCCTTTCCTAATATTATGCTACATGCCTGAGCACTGAGCCCAAGCATTTCTAAATTTCCCCTGTCTAGCCAGTCCCCACTTCTACCTCTTATATAATGCCTTTTGGTATTCAAGTTGTCATGAGTTCCCTGTGTAGTCAAGCCAGGCTCTTGATATGTCTACATGTTTTTCTGAATATCAAGATGGACCACTCTTTTGCTTGGAGAACACTGTCCTTAAAGACCTGTCAGCCTTCCTGAGCAGCTTCATCCTTTCCCTGTGATCTAACCTACCAGTTCCATGAAAAAGCCAAAGTCTGCTCGCATGAAATCTAAGGTCTATATTCTGCTACTTACCTTCTTCACACTCCTCAGAATCCTGATCTCCTCTATTTCATGAATGCAGCAGCCTGTTCATCAGACTCAGCAACTTGAATTCAAATTGCTAAAACACTTCTACTAACTTGAAAGGGAACTGGATGTGGTCCTTTCTTATGGCAGCTTCTTTTTTTATAGAAGGTAATGTTTTCAACATATGGTGATGGAAAAGACATTCTAGTCCCAACTGTTACAAGTGATATACAATCACGGGGAATTTTGAAACGAGGAAGACAAATGGAGAAGGATAAGGATAATCCACTAATGAAAAACAAAACGAAGAATGTCATTGTAAGACATTTGCTTTACGATTTTAACGTTTTAAAATGCCCACAAGAAAAACAAACACCCAGGCAGCCACTTACTCAGCCAGCTCCGCACGGAAACGCCAGTTCCTGCTGTTATCCGTCACTAGGAATTCCTGGAGCTGATAAAGATATTCTCGTCTTTTGTCAAGATGAAGAAGCTGTAACAGTAAGCATAAAGAAATGTAAGTTACAAACAATAAGCAGATGGAACAAGAGGTTTAAAAGACAATCAGTGAAAAGCTTGTTTTGATTCAAAAAATAATCTTTAGCAATAGCTCTGCTTTTCTGGGCTAAACTGTACCATGCTTAAGTCAATGAGTCATATATAATGACATTGTGTGAGTACACAAGGTACTACTGTAGGCAAAAATCTAACTCTTTTCCTACTTTTTCCTCTGGGAGACAATAAGGATAAGCAGTAAAGCTAGAACCAGTTTTAAAGGTTTTATGATTTGTATGCTTCAGCTCCAAAAAGGAAACAGTTATAGAAAAATTTCTAAAAAGTCAGAAAAGAAAATTGCTACCAAGAGGTTAGAGCCATCAAAAAACTTAATACAAACCGCTGGCACCCATACATATAATACATATGCACAGACCAGGTTCTTCAGAGAAAAGAAAGAATCAGCAACACGAATCTCCTGCAAAAGATACTCCAGTATTCAACAGATATTTTTATGCAGTCTAAAAAGTGTTATACTGGTGTTACGTTAAAAAGCAAGTGTAAACAAAGAAATGAAGCAAAATAGACAATTTAACTGGGCCAAAGTTGAACACAGACATACCTTCAGAAAGTCATGCAAGTGTTTAAGCACACCTATCCTGACTTCATCCAGGTCTTTTAAAAAGCCATTGAAGACAGGAACCAAATCTCCAGCTGTGAGTTGGTCTCCGAGGATCACAGCAAGTTCATGTATAGAAAATGCTAACGTCCGCCGAACTTTCCACTGTAAAAAAAAAAATATATATATATATATATACACACATACACGCACACACACACTTTTTTATTAATGAATCATCCCAAGAGCTCTATTTTCATTTGAGAGTTAGTATCCATCAGACTCTGAGAGCTCCAGCACTTACAATTCCATTTAATAGTTATCCCCCATGTATTGGTGTGTCCCATGTAATGATTTAAATTAAGTATTAAAAAAAAAAATAGAGAGAGAGGAAAAAAAAAAAATCAGGAGAAACTATGACCTTTGAGCTGTCCGTTAATTTGTTCCACCAGAATATCTAGGAACTAGGCAAATAAACGTAACAAAGATACTTAACTTGCCATGTTCAGGAAAGAAAAATAGTATTCCTGATAACAGTACTTTTGTACTCTTTGCCTCACATTCTTCTTGGGTAATTTAGACCCATACTGCTATGCTATCACTCATTTAATTTACAAAATAGAACAAGAAAAATAAATTCCATTATACTTCAGCTGGAATCTTTTGACTTCCCTAATAGGTAAAGTTTCATGCATAGAGTGCTGAGCAGTCCGTGACCAGTAGAGCTATTTTGGCCCTAACTTGACGAAGCACTGTTTTAATGGATTAACTATTTAAATTAAGTCCTTTTTAAAAATAAAATTGCATCTCTTCTTTAACCAGCACTTTCCAATTAGCATGGGTTCCGTTTCTTCACCTGGTTTGGTGACTCAGTTTTAATTCAGGTTAGACTGGTGGTAAACTCAGGACCGTTTTAAATATGGACTAATTTATTTTTACTTATGTTTTAATTTATTATTTGGTTATTTTTAATGGCTGCAAAACATTTTGGAAAATATGAGCAATAAGCATGTATAAAATTACTCACTACATATCACTGAGAACTGCTGCTCTGACACAGCAGCAGCAAGTTCAAGAGAGGTGAAGTAGTCTGAGAACGCTTACAAAAGAAAGCATCTCCGAAAAAGGAAGACATGGAGGACTGGAAACAACTACGAACCAACAGTGAACTGCGCAAAACTGCCTCCTTACCACCTGACAACAAGAAAAACACTGCTATTTCTAGTATTTGTTTTTAAAACAGCAATGCTGCATTGTGATAGTGATGTTACTCCCCCTTATGACTAACTGGATACAGCATCAAAAGGCCACCAGGGCTCGGCATGAGGCTGACTCACGGAGCACCAGACATGCCTGCGGGCGCACATGTCTGCTCACGCACAGCAGCACAGCCTGAATTCCCGTACCTGTGAGAATCCCAAGCACTGCCACAACATCTCAAGGGAGCAGAGGAGATCAGAGACCTCTCCTCACACTCCCACCAGAAAACCACCTCCACGCATGCACTCAAATCAACCTCCCGCACTTGCTTGCTACCTCAGCACCACACACTCCCAGCTTCCTCCAAGACAATGTGTCATTCATAGTGTGAACAACTAACATCAGCAACAGAAAACTGCACCTAAAAAACAGAGCAACCCAACACCCAGTGTACCAACACATCAACATGAAAGTTCACGGATTATTCACTGTCGAATTTTTTGAGCTAAAGTCCAGCATACCTGCATGTCAGATGCCAGCGTCTCATAGGTGTCTTTCAAACAGTGCCAATTCTGTCTGCCCAACGTAAGTGCCACACCTGGTAGGCTGTAGGCACAGTGCTTCGCAATCTCAGTATCAACTGTTTGTGCGCGAGATGGATCGGTCATTGACAAATATTGATCCAACAAGGCTTGAGGTACAACATCCTATAGCAAAAAGGGTAGCGTTTACACTATTTTCAGTAAATCCTCATAGAGACTGTTAACATTTCAGGACGCACAGTCAGAATAACATTTTTTCCCCACAGCTATGGAATATTATTTAACTGAATTATCTTGACAAGACATCCATCAAAAGCTCCACCAGTAAAAGAAATGACGACATTTGGGGGCTATCTGAAAATACACAGACAGAACAGATGAGTGGATGGATCACTGTCTACTTAAGCAGACCAAGAAATTAAGAGATTACCATCTACTTTTCTACAAACATTCAGACTCACAGGCTGTGTAAACTGGGCACAAAGTTTGCCCGCGTTAACTCATCCATAAAATGAGTATAACTGCAAATGACAAGACTCGCTCAAAAAAAATCATTTAACTAGTCTTTCCAAAATCCTGTCTTTTGGAGGAGGGGAGAGAAGAAAGTCAAATTAAAACGTCTTGGGGAAGGAGGCTGGGGCGAGGACACAGAATATATAAGGTGTTCAATACTGCTTTCAAATTCCCTAAATAGTCAATAGAGGGGAAAAGGCTTCTCCAGGGACAAAGAGATCTAGTGAAGATCAACCCTTCCCTCCACTGAAAAAATAAAACTTCTAAAATAAAACGATGTGAATACCTCTGTGTTGACTTTTAACACTTTCTTTGCTTCAGCTGTCGTCAGTTTTTATCTCAGGCACTAACTCTCCTCAGTGGGGTGCGCAAGAACATTTCCCTAACACACAGCTGCTGAATAGCACAGCTCACACGAGCAGCAAGAGGGACTGGCATTAGGGTGGTTCAGGGTGGCATAGTGAATGCTGAACTAAGCAAAACCAAAAAAACTGTATACATATTTTTTAAATAGGTTGAGTTTAATGAAACATACCTCCACACCTTTCCTTTAAAAGGTTGGGAAGGGGGTGGGAGCAGTTCCACTCAAAATATTCAAGAAAATATCCTGTTTCTTCAGTAATGCTAATTTCAATTACAGGATCGTTTCCACAGAGAATTAAACCCAATAAAACCAGAGCCTGGAAGTCTAGGATAGTTGTTCTCATGTCAAAAAAATGCTGTCCTCTCTTATACACAATAAAAGAAGCAGCTGCTGAATTATCTCTAGAAACACTGAAGATAGTATTTTAGAGAGGCCTACTCAAGAGGTTTTCTGCATTGTACAGAAAATACATTGCATCAAAAATGATCGGATGAAATATGTGTAAAAGTTTTCCCACATATAAAAAATAATCCTGCTTCTGTGATTGATGTAGGAAAAACAAGAGTCACTGTCATTTACCTGTACTTTGGATTTTCTTTCTTCTTCAGGGCTGAAACTACTATTGGTGCTCAAATCTGAATCATTATGAATATAGTGAAGAGTGGAATCCATATTCTACTCAAGAGAAAGGAAAAAAAAAGTCACGTAAGATACACTCAAGGATTAAACACAAGACAAACATCAACATCACAAAGTGCTGCCCTCACCTCAGGGTCTTTTCCTTAGATTAAAAGGACACATGTTTTAATATCAAATACATTTTTGCTATAGCCCCAAATCAAAAGGCCTGTTAGATAAATCTTTCTGTTTCAAATTTAAAACAAAGGCTCCTCTTAGTCTGGGCAATTGTGATTCTTATGGAATGAAAATCACCATAGGAGATGAGCACCTTTGAGACTATGTTCAGAAAACACAACTAACACATGGACCACATTGCTTCCTCCCTGGAGGAAAAATGAGAAAACATCTGCAGTGGATTTAGTCAAATTTGTTGCTCTGCAATTGTGCTAGACAAGGTCAAAACAAAGCACTTTAGAGTGGAAACTGATGAGACTTATGCTGTTGCTCCTTTACTGAAGGTGATTGTCCCATAGTCTCCTCTGCAGATGGGTTTCACCTGATTATGGAGAGCCCTAGTGGGCCATAGCTGTTGACAACACTCTTGGCCTCTCTCAGCAATGTTTTTTGTTTGTTTTTTAGTTTTAGCAATCATTCAAGCATCCTGGGTACACATCTGGGCCCCAAAGATAAAGACCAAGATTTGTTTCAGATCTCTACAGAGCAACATAGCTGTTCAATACACTGTGATACACCGTGTTGCTTAAGGGGATGCAATGTCACTTCCTGTACCAGTGGAGTTTCCCAGATACAATGGGCATTACATAATCAACTGTGAATTTCAAAAAGTACGTGACGAATTTTGAGAAGTACATCAGGTTGCTGTCTGGCAGAACAGGTCTAAGGTCTTTGCCAGAGATGATCCAAAGCACCTATCCACAAATGCTGCAGGGTGAGCTCTCAGGCTCAACGTGAACTTTGAGAATGATCCTAGTCTACTGACTGCGCAGATTAGTTTGACAACGACTGTTTCAAGCACAAAAAACTATGAACTTCTAGAAAAAGGCCTCTAGGATCCCCTCTGTCTTGCTTGGTTTAACTTCAGACAGTTACTCTCTCCTCTTCCACGAACTGCTTTCATCTAAGCACTGCGTTGTAATTTTAGTCAATGAGCTGTAATTACATGTGATAAAGAAGAGGTAGAGCTGTGAGGCAAATGCATATGGCGGGCACTGCAGTCTGAGTCACCTGCCTGCCTTATCTAGCAGCAGCAAGGTAGTGTCAAAGAGCTAGAGAAAGAACAGAACCTCATGTGACTCTGTAACTGAATGTGTCCAGCCGATACGACCCAACCTATAAAACCTACAGAGGCTTTGAAAATATCGCTGCGGGATTTTGGTTTGCCAAACTTCTTCACTCTTTTATCTACTCAATCTTTTTCAGAAATCTATGAAAGAGAATTTCAGCATTCTCAGAGAGTCACCAGATTCAACCTCTTTCAGATCAAGAAATTATGAGGCAGGTAACACAAAACAGCCACGGCCCTTTCAGTGAGTTGCCCAGGTGTAAGGGTCTAGAGGTTAGCGATCCATTCTGCTACATAAGAAAGGAAGAGACCATCTCACACACTCTCTGCTACCCTGGCTCTAAAAGACTAGCAGCTAAAAAAAGCTAAAAATAATACTTTATTGACTGAAGTAAGTTGAGCAACTAAATATGCAGAAGGGTGACACAGACGGTAGCATTTTCACTCAGCCACTTTTAAAGTCAAAAACGCATTCCAAAAGGAAAAGCTTCAGTACAAAGGGACTGCCACATCAGTCAGTATTTAAGTCATGCAGAATCTGTACACCTGCAGCTCAAGTTCAATCTGTACCTCTTCCATTTAACATGCACAAACCAAAGTGAGCATTACAGAAAACCAGGACATAAACATTTAGCAGGAGGGTTTAGTCTGAAATTTTTTTTGTGTACCAAACTGGCAAACAACCACTTCTGAGATGCAAATTCTGTATCACTACCTACTAATCTTTTACGCAAGGTTTCCTTTAGCTGCGGTGTATCAGAGCTCTGTGCTCCAAAGAGACCTCTGTTCTGTGCCACAGGGCGCACACACAGCCCAGGGGCACCAGAACAACTGACACTGGTACCTCCTGACAGCCAAGGGAGGTGGCCAAAACACAGAGAGAAGAGGGCAGTCTCAGGGGTCCACATTTGAGGCAGTCTCCTGCTGGCTTCCACCCTCATACTTAGAGGGAGGTACTTCCTCCAGAGAGATGGGCTGATTTTACTCCAGTGTCCTTTTTCTTTCTTTTCTTTCGCTTCTCCCCCTACCTCCAACCAAAAAAAAAAACAACAAAAGAAAAAATAAAAACAAAGAAAAAAAAACTGAGTTCTCCCTTGCCAGTTCCCACTCTATGAAAAAACTGCCATTCTTCAATTTTCTTTTTTTTTGGTCAAGCCTTGTAGAGAGCATATAACTTTAAGAAAAAACAAGACAGGCCGTTCTTGAGGAAGAAAAACAGCTACCTTCATCCTCAGCAAACAAGCTTCATCTATGTACTAGAGCCATATCTGTTCATTTTATTCCAGCAGGTATTTTCATTTACAGAGAGAATGCTCTCTTTAACAAGCAGCATTAACTCCTTCAGGAGCCTACACAGCTGCAGAAGAGCAAGCAGAATTTGATTTTGCTTTATGATATGTGCACAGAATTGTGAGGGCTGCTTTCAAACATAAAATACTCTAGCCTAATTCTTCTAAAGCATCCAGTATCCGTATCGACTCTTTGCTACACTGAGAATTAAAAAGCACCTGCGAAAATCATAGCAGTCTTTTCTGCTAGGGGCAGCAGTCTACTTGCTCAACAGATCACAGTTTGGTTTTCAAATTCTAGGTCACCTCTATGACATCCTTTCACTTGTAAAATGAGGACTTGATTCAGTGCCAGTAACAATCTGCCAGTTGGTTGTTTGTTAAGAGCATGTCTTTAAAGAGTAAAACCTACACCTATAAAGAAAGAATGTAAACCAGAAACAGGATAGCTTCTTTAGCTTTCTGTTGGCATCATATTCTGTGAAGAAATAAAATGCAGGAACAGATCCCTCTGAATAAATACCTACCACCTCCCTCACCGCCCCCCAAAAACAGAAAAAGGACAAAGGATTCATTTACACTATCATTTTGAAGGTTAGAATTAGCAAGAAGTGATGACTGATGCTATGTTAAAGAAATATAACAAGCACTGTATCTGGGTGTTGTTGGGATTTTGGCAGGGGGGGAGGAGGGGACAGAAGGTTGCTTTTTTTTTTTTTTTTTTTAAAATACATTTGTAATGTTAAATTACGATTTTGTGTATAAACAGCAGTATCCAAGTAACCGTCACATTTCTCCACCACCAAACACTTTTGGGTTATAAGGTGGCCACACAGCTTAGGTGAAACACTGAAAATGACTGATCCTCAGTCATTTTTAATTTTAAGAGGATTGAAAAAAGCCTCCACAGGACTAATGTCAACTCCTAGACTTCTCAGAGACACGTGCCCTTATCAAGTTTGCACCTCAAAATACTAACTCTATATGTATGTGTGTCTATATAAAAGCTATATAGGCAACAGGGTGCAAACATATTCCTTGCTGTGGTTTTACAGAACGTAAATTTGGGAATCACTGCTTTCTACATAACTTTCAATACCACCAAAGCTTACGGCACTACATGCAGTGAATAGAGTGGGTTTCATCTAACACACAGCAGAGAACAGAAAATAAGAACACCAAATGCCACAGACTTGTGACGGGGAGGAAGGGGCAGAGCTGAAGGAATAAGTGCAACAAACTTTAGTGCTAGAATCCACCTTCCCTTTCCACAGTCTGCCCAACAACATAGGTCACAAGCCCCGAACTCCTTCTACGAAGGCCAGTAAGCTACTGTAAAACCCTTCCACCGGGAACACAGTACCTCTTTCTCCAGAAGGGGAAAAAAAAGGGGTGGGAAGGGTGGGAGACTGGGGTGGGAGGAAGGGGTTTGCTTGTTATTAATAGGGCTCTGTTTTAAAGTAAGGCAATTTCATAGTAATAAATTGTAGTAGCACTAAAATGTCTTAAAACATGATAGTCACAACAGAGGTTTCAACAGAAACAATTTCAAGAATTTGCACAGGCAAGCACAGAACAAAAACATCCAACATAACTCATTTTATTTTAGTAGTTAATGCTGCAATTCCAGGCAACAAAACTGAATATCACGCTAGCCAAAAGTAGGAAGCATTTGGCTGCAATTATTGCACAAACACAGAATACACCTCTATTACTGGAGTCCTGAAAATCTACATTAAAAAAAAAAAAAAAATCTAGCACAAAACTTTCTTCTTACCTCAACAGTGTCACCAATTAAAGGCACAATATCACCCAGGATAGGTTTAAAATTCTGTTGGTCTTTGACGCTTAGTTCACTCTGCGAGTCTGTTCCCTTGCCAATGCCGACTGTTGTCTCTTCTTGAGGATCCAAACTGGATGCTCTGAGTGCAGCAGACAACACCTCCACTTGTGCTGCACGTGAAAGAGAAAAACACAAGAGGCTGAACAGCAACAAACTTTTTGTCAAGCCACAAATCAACTTTCAGAAGTTGACTAATCAGATGAAGAACTGAGCGGCAGCAAATTTAGCAGTACTGGTTATTAGTAAATCCCACAACTGGGACAACTAGCACAAAAGGAAGGCAGACTCAAGGTTTGCTCCTTTCTGAGGTGCTCAACAACACTGCAGTTCAGCGGAACGTTGTCCTTAAGGCAGGAGACCCAGAAGTGTAAGAGATTGCTTTTGTGGCAGGATCAGTTCTTTAAGAATCTGGACACATTAATGGTACAAACAGTCTACGGAATCGAACACATGAACACTAACTTACTGACATGGTCTTCTGCAGGAGCAGAGGGAAGAGAGTGAAGGGAAAAATAATTCCAGTAAAGGCTGAGAATAGAGCCTTATTCATACAGAAAGGAGCTGGAAATTTCAGTTCTTGGAGGATGCATCTATGTATCTCTCTCTCTTTACGGCCATTAAACCTTTTCATAGCACCTCTAAAGCAAGATTTATGCAGGAAGGTCCTAGATCCCAGTAACTTTTTTTATGCAAGATACTTTATACTCCTTGCACCCTCCACAGGAATAACGAAGCCTGCACTGTTTAATCTCTTCTTACTCATCAAAAGAAAGAACTAGTACTTCATGCTCTGCTCTGCCATCCACTTTCTTGAAAAAGGTCCAACAGTTTTGAGACTGCTTTGCCTTCCATCCCTCTGCTTCCTGCTAATTAAAAAAAAAAAAGCTGTGTTGAGCAATTTTGCTTGGGTGTAGCCTGACCTAAGCAGATCAGGTATCAGAGGCAATCTTTAGCTGCAAGCAGCACAGAGTTTAGTGCAAACTGATTTACTCTGCCTCTTTCCTTCTCCACTTCTTTTCAAGAAGGTAAGGAGAAGTAATTTTCTGACCCATATGATTTCACCAGTCACCCAGAAGCTCTGCTCCCCACAGACAAATGGCTTTTCCAAGGTTTCTTAAATGTTAAATTGTGAAATCAAATGACAAACCATGTATTTGCATTTTTAATCTCACTTTGCCACACTCAGTCACGGAATGCGAATGTCACCCTCTAGCCTTTTTGATGGAGTTACTAACAAGAATTAGATGAAGAAAAAGGGGGGAGGTTGCTCAAAGCTGGACTAATTTGTAGACAGAAGAAACAGATATGCAATGCATTCATTACAATAAGCAAAATTATAATTCAGCACAATCCTAGCTACTAAACAATCACAAAACACACTGCAGGTTAACTGGTCTCTAAGTGGGGTCTGATGAACAGAAGTAAAGATGAATGTTTTCAACATGCAAGGCTAGCTCCATAACTGTGTCAAATTTCTAATGAAATACCTGAAAGTTTCCCTGCTGTAAAATTGCTTTAAAAATAGGTAACCTTAAAAACAAAACTAGTATCATAATAATACTTCTACCATAAAATGAATCATTACTTTAGAAAATACAATTTAGTTTAAACTTATATCCATAAACCACATTAACGATTAAAATTTTAGGAATTTTACAGTACAGTTCGCAAGATTAACAAAAACTTGCTGTGACCTCACTATTTGAGTGTTACTTTACTGAGAAGAATAAACCTTGAACTTTCAGGTATAAGAGAATTAGTAAGATCAAAATTAGTAAATTTCTGCAAAATTGAAAAGTTAGAAAAAAAAAAACAAAAACACACACGCCAAAACCATGCAAAATAGATGGTCATTTCAGACCACCTACTAGGGTAAGAAATGGTAACCCAGATTTCCAGTTTATTTTTTTAGAGAAATGAAACAAGAAACTTAAACTGAACATTGGGGAGATGACTTTCATGAAAGACATCATCATGAAAGTACACTCCTTTAATTTGCAGTTAAAGGTCAAGAAAAAGTCTTACCCTGAATTGAAATTGCGTGTTGCTTCAACACTGAATATGTATTTACTGAAAAATCCACACAGAGCTCTAGTAATAGTACTGAAGATATTTACAGTAGTAAGTGGGAATTTTCAATACGTGTTGCCCCAAGGCATGCCTCACTGTCAGCTTGCACACCTTCAACAGGCCCGCTCGGAGGCTTTCTCGTCTTAATGGGATGGAGCCCACATGTACCCCGATTCCCTCTGTCTGCCCTAAGGGAGATATGACACAAAAATGCACTTCCTCAGTTTCTTGTCAACTCTACAATCCCAAGACTGGGGGATAAAGGACAGGAGAGGCAAAACTCCCAAGGATATCATTTACTGGCAAACGCCTTCTTACTTCAAACGTTCCTCCAAAGGTCCTGTCATTAATCGTAACTCCAAAGTAGTCATTCAGCAAAAGATGATGGCCTAAAGTCCTTAGATACCTTAAAGTCCTAGTCAAAATGCCATATACACAGTCAGTGTGCATGCGCGCAGCTCTGGATGGCTGCCCTGAAGATATAAAACTCAAGACAGTGTCCTGATGAGCTGTAATCACCACCCCAGGCTCAGGTGCCAGGGCACATCCCCCGCATGATCCCATCATACACAGATACAGCCGAAGATCTGTGCTGACACTCTCCTCACCACGGTTGCTTCTGCTCTCTCTTCCCCTTCCAGGGAGCCTCCCTACAGCCATAAAACAGGCAACGTTTTCCACAAGTACTTTAAAAGTACAAGCAAAAGGGCAAGGCTCCCCTTTCACCCAGGATACACAGAGATCCACTAGAATTCTTGGGAGGCAAGGCTTTTGGAGGAAGACTAGAAGGAGATTTGCTAACTAGCTTCCACAACTGACTTCAGTAAAAACTTGAGCTTAAAGGTGGGTAAAATACAGACCTCTTGTACTGCACTGGTAAGATAAGGTCAATGCTTACTAGATCTCAAACCACGTTAACTCTTTTTTCCTCTGCCTTCTGTTTCAGGTGAGAAGCGTTCTTCAGCAAGGAATCATTCACTCTATTGCCTACTGTACTTGCATCCTAAAATAACAGGCATAACTTCTAAATTTAAAAATATACCTTTTCTGGCCTTACTAATCTCCTGGTCCTCCGGGAAAAATTACTTTCAGGCTGAATTAATTGATACAGTGATGCAAGTATGTACTGAAACATAACCTGAAGCACCCAACCAATAAGGATCTTGAGTTCCTTCAAGACTATTCTAGTAAACAAGACATTGAAATAAGGAGCTTCCTTCTCCCTTTCTCCTCACCTACTATTTCATTAACAATGTATTTTAGACTGTTAGTGCAGGCAGAGCCAGTAGCCTAACATATAAACTTCCTAACCTAACATATAAATCCCTCTAATAAGAGAATGGCATCAATCCATTTTAAATTCAATTTTTTGTGTCTCTGGTAAACCACACATTTGGGCTGTTTTTTCCATGTTACATCTCCATTTGGCAAAGCAGGCTGTAACTGGCATACGCAACAGCCCCACAAACCTGCAAGTCAACCTCTCCCTCCAATAATAGGAAAAGTTGACACTCCACAATTTAAGACTCCCTATGCAGAACATAAGGAGATAAAGAAAGCTGAAGAAAGTGTCCTTGGAAACATAAAGAAAGAAACAGCTGGGGAAAGAAAAGCAACCACTGAAGTAAGTGGAGACAGCAGCCACCTCAAAAGAGTTGGAAAAAATTTAAAAGGTGACCAGAATAAAGAACCTGCGAAATTTTAAACGAGCTGGCACTTCAAAGAAACGTACAGGTTTCCATCTCCCAGTTTATGAGACCATCAGGATGTCTGGCCAATGGACCGGAAAGGTCCTATTAACATGGATTATATACCACTGCTTAACTTTGCACAGCTTGTATAGCTCTGCTACCCAAAAGAGCTTGTCTGCTAGAACACAGGCTCTCTCCCTCTTGGTTGCTGACTGCTGAATTGCCCATTACTCGGATTTATCACTTTGGCAACAAGCCAGTTCTGGAAATAAGGCCTCAGGGTAAAGATTTTAGGGAGTAAGATCCAGTTAAAGCCGTTCACCCCTTTCTGAGAATGAGATAATGGAAAAAAAAAAAAAAAGTTCTGTGAAGGTTTGCTGGTCACCTAAAAAAAAAAAAAAGTATTTGCCAGAAACCTCATCAGACTCCGTGCCTTAGACCAGGGATTTGAAATTTGAAAGGGAGACTGGAAGGTGTACTGCACAAAGACAACAAACACTCGAATTACAAACTTTCCAAAATTATCCAAACAAACAAAGCCCAAAACACAGTTCTATATACGCAGACAGTAACCCGTGTTTGGCAGCCACACATCTGGAAGACTGGAGTATGCACTGAACGGACTATACTCCAGGCTGCACAAGCTCAACTGCTCCTTCCCATTGCCACGGTCTGCTGAAGTATCCCCTGGGCATCTACCTAGCTATCCATTTCTGCTATCTATCTGGATCTACAGCTATCTTTCTGTATCTTCCTCTCCCTGTATCTATATCCCCTAGCTATCAGTTCTTAATAATTCCCACTGTCAGGGACTGGGTATGAAACCAGCTGGCAAAATGGAAATCAACCACCTCTGCTGATTGCTCCACAAAGGAAATGAGCTCATTACCATCACCAGCTATTCTAGAGTCAAGTAATAAAAATTCAGACTTATCTAAAGAACCTTTAAAAGCCCTGCCAATGACCCGGACCAACATGGTCTCACACAAGGATTTTTTGTCTTCAATTCAGAAAATATTTTTGAAAACAAAACACATTAAGATAAGGATGCTGAAGTTGCAAAATCAAATCGTGAGAAGCTAAGAAAGGCAAGAATTAAGTTCATCTGAGCAACTTAACCTTACTGACACGTGCACAGTGTCATACGCTACAGTCTCATTCCCAAGCTCCACCTTCGACAACTCACCCCGACTTCATTTTGTGGTCGCTCTAGGATGTTTGCCCCATTTGCTATAGAAATCAGAAGACCTGTAGCCACAGGAGCTCTGCAGCAGGGCAGGCCGCCTCTGCTCACCTATCACAGAGAACACTGTACCATCTGCCCCTGTCCTGTGGCTGGGAAAGCAGCAATGGAGGCAGGGGCACAGCAGAAGAAAAAGGAATCAGGAAGGAGACAGCAAACCAAAGAAAGTAAGTGCAGAAAAAAGGTCAGAGATTTTCTTTTAAAAAAAAAAAAAAAAAAAAAATGCGGGGGGGGGGGGGAAGGACACCTGAGAGAATTCCCAGCTCAGTCTTACCTCACTGTCAAGAGCCAGCAAGCTCACAGCATAAAGCCTGCAAAAACGTAGTGGCTAGTCTCAGAGGCAAAAAAAACCCCCCCCCCAACACCATTCATTACACAAATTCATTACAAGCAGTCAACAACACAACAGCCTTCTCAACGGGTATCCGATATAAGCGGCTTGGGACCAGGGCTGTTTGGCAAACGCTTGCAAGAGCGAGTAAGCTCGAGCTGTGAAATTAATAAGTTTTATAAAATTGCTATGTACACTGAAAAGAACAAATTAGATTTTGTACTGAATATTTATATCATCAGTTTGCAACAACAGTTTTAGATGATAAAGCTGGAAGTATAGTTCCTGGTACTGTCATGAGCAGAGAGGCAGACATTCCAGATCATCCCCAGAAGGAGCTGACCTCCCACTCGTCAGCAAGCACGGAGCGCAAAGTCCAACACTTAGGCATTAAGTGAGCTACCTACAAAATAAAGTCTGCATAGCCACCACTTCTGTGTGCGCTTTAGTATTTCAGACAAGCATGCAAATTAATGCACTCATTTTATCAGTTTTGTTCTCAATTTCTTTTTGCCTTATTCCACTTTGTATAAAATGAAAATAGTAGCACCACCAAATCAAAACAGGCATGTTACAAAGTCCCTGCTTCTGAAGTACTCAGATAGAATAATGAAAGCATAGCCAAGGGGAAAAAAACTGAAACAGGTAGTTAGGCATTCAGTACAGGGTTTAGAAGGTGTGTGTTACATAAGGCTTCAGTACACAGTCTTAGCAAAGTAAATGGTTTTGAAGGGAAAGTAAAGATGACTGAGTAACTAAGACCATCCCCACCCCCACCCCCCACTCCAAAACCAAACTAAACGGCACTAGCAAACCTTTCAAACCTTTCCTAACTTGTGAGCACTTGGAACTCATGGGGTTGACAAGCTAGTAACAGCTTTCTTGAACTGCAATGCATGCATTAGTCGATAACAGCACAGAGAATCTCTTTACATCCACTCAAAGAGCAGCAAAATAACCGCTCTGAAACAAAACATTGACACATACACATGACACAAACAACCACATAACACAGGACAGCTCTGGATGTACAAACACTAACCTACATAAATCTTCAAAAAACAAAAAACCTTTAAGATGTGTTTTGTAACTGGATAGAATAAGGTTTTATAGACAAATCTGAACAGCAATGGCAGTTTTAACAGTGTGCTTCAGAGATGGGTTTTTTGAATATTGAGATCACTAGCAAAGCTGACATTTTTTTTTCTTACTTCTTTCCTTTGGGAGAAAGAGGGCTCAAAGCACTCTTAAAGCAAAAAAAGCTTCCCCTGCTGACTTTACAATGGATTAACTGGAAGCAGCCCACTATGGATCTCTGAGACGTTTTTAGCATATCACCCAAACGACAGACTAGAGATAAGATCAAAGCAGTATCATTTTATTCTAAAATGTCTGTTTTTCTACCCTCCACCTCCATTTTTCTTTTCTACTTTTTCTGCTACAAAAGTTTGCTTTCTCCTATGGATTCTCCAGCTCCAGAATAACACAGCTCTCTTCCTTAGCGGTAACTCAGACTTTGTGTCTGTCACCCTTGAGCTCGATGTGCCTTAGGACTTATTCAGCATACGAGTGACGAGAGAAACAGATCTCTAGTAGGTACAAGTGAAACAGTCAAGTCATTTTAGCCCAGGAGACGTCTCTGAGGTATTCCTCCATCAGCTAGTCAGACTTAAGCCCTTCTCCACCCTTCAAGGGTTTTTGAAATGGAAGATGTGAGTTCACTTCAAGAACTCAATTCACAGCTTGACCCAGACTTACTCATGACACACTTAAGCAGACAACATGAGACTGAAATAATAAAAGTCTTCTAGAAAAATGGAAAAGACTAGTTAATTAACAATAAAATGGATAATTCATAAAATGAAACACACACACATCATGCTTTGATATTCATAAAAAAAAAAATCTGCCTTCCTGCTTTGCACGTTCACTAACAAAAAATGCCTGATCCACAGCTTATACCATTGAACCACCTATTTGATTATACTGTCAAAATTGGCAGCCAGAAGTTTACACACTAAAGACTGCACTGTATGTGCACCCAGTTTATAGAAGGACTCATACTACCTTTAAACTGCTTTGCCAAAATACAAGTCCCCTTTTGGTTCATCACCACTTTTCCCCAATTAAGTCAAAGCAAATACAATCTCTTTGAGGACCAGGAGAAAGTACTTTCTCTGACTGCTGTTAAGAAAGCCAAAGGTTAAAGCCCAAACTGCTAAAGCAACATATGTGCATCTCCAAATACGAGAAATGTTTCAGTATCTTTACTATACCTTTAACATCTGGATCATCTATATGGGGCTCCAAATTTTCTATCATTTCTTCCAACTCTTTCCTTGTTGCCATGGGAATGTTTGGGGACACTGGTATAGTGAGCTCCTGAACCTCTCTATTGAGTATTTTCTCCGAAGTCTGCTGAAGCTCCAAGTCAATATCTATTTCAGGAAGTGGAGTCCTCCAGAAATGGAAAGAGTTATACAGCTCCTGCTCTGAAAGAGAGGTTTCTTGTGAACTCAGCCCAGCTTCCCGCAGTCCTGCTGTACAGTGGTGACAACTTCGCTTGTTCTCATCGGCCATTTTCCCACAAGATTCTGAAGACAAAGTACAATGAAAAGATGACTCAGTCTGGAAATCACTTTCCCTCTGGGAGTTTTTTGACATTGCATTCCGATCTTCCATGGCATTTTCAAGTTCTGGTGCAAATTCGTCATTACTGACACATGAAGACAGATCGTCTATCCTATTATGCTCATCCTCTGTTGTGACTTCCTCTGCAGTCCTGATCTGTTCACTGTTGAGTACCAAAGCAAACAGACTATTTAGAAGACAAACACTGTGCAAACATAGATGCTCACGAAAATTCATACTCATGCTATCAGCTTGTTCTTTATGGAACGAGACTTACAGCACAGCAAGATAAATAAGGTATCCTAAATTACTAAATAGTCCTGTATTTTTAGTAAGTCTCTGAAGATTCCCAGTAGTCCTTTTAGTAAGGCAACAGGTTCCAGGCTTTTTTTCTTTTTTGTTTACCAAGACAGTCAATTCCTATAGGAAAGTTGACTTTCTTAACCTGCGGTTCATACACAAGAAAAATAAGAAATCCACAACTTTAGCAAATTTCTTACCTATTTTCCTGTGCAGAAACATGATCCTCTGGGTTTTTACCGTCTTCTTCTTTAAAATACTGGCCACTGCTGGATGGGTTAGCAAAAGTTGATATGAAAGGCCCCAGAGACTGAAAGGCAGCTTGACGGACCTAGTGGAAAGGGTCCCAGAAAAAAAAAAAAAAACAAACAAACCTATAAATACTTCTGTCCTACAGGACACAAATAACTGCTACTAGGAGTTAGAAGGGTCATGGGTCTACTGAGGAAAGCAACAGCAGAGACTTTTGACTGGAAACACTCAACCAGCTGTATACATAAAGGACTAAGTGAAAAGCTTTAAGCTGGGAAAGAGCACGCGTACTAAGAGTTAAATCACAGGTCACAATCAAAGAAATCAAAACCATTTAACAGCAAAAGCCGGTAATTTTGGAACGTCACTGGAAGATCTTAACAATTTGGAAGGAAAAATTATGGTGTGGTGAACAGACATTTCACTATCATGAATTTGACTCATAGATTTTGCATTTCTTTCCCTTTCCCATGTGGTTACTTCCTTCATTTGCTCTGCCTTTCTCCACCAGTTTACTCCCCCCTTCCTTGCCCATCATGTCATCTATCTCCATTTCTATTATTTGATTAATTCTGCTGGATTATGCATGTAGGCATGCATTAATAGGCATGCATTAATTCTGCATGTCTTTCCAGGATCTAAGAGCTCAAACGCTCCTGTGCGGCAAGACCCCCTTCCGGGCTCTGGGAAGTAGTCTGCTCGCTAATAAATTTAACAACATTTGAAGGGTAGATTTTCAAGACAAGGAAAGGAGGTGGTAGACAGCCTAAAGAAATATAAATAAATCACATTTAATTTCCACTTCTTTTGATGACTTCTAGTAATGTTAAGTAACAGGCAATTCTTTAGCTAAAAAAAAGCTGTCCCAGTGACATAGTTTTTTGTTTTTGTTTTTGTTTTTTTTTAATATGCAACGAAAAAAACATGAGGAAATCCTTCTGCACTTTGACAAACCAATCACTCTGAGAAGAATCTTGCATTGGGTACATGAAACAAGTTACGTTATCCAAAAAAGAGTTCTATATGTAGTACCACAGTAAAGTCCTTATGCTACAACAGCTATTTAAGAAATAAAAAACAATTCTTACCCATCGTGAAGGATCGCTAATTAAATTAATAAAAAGCGTTGACAATTTTGTCCGCCGGACTTCTTGCGATGTTGCACAAGAAACTGCCATGAAGCATTCAGCACAGGCTTTCCGAACTCCCCACACATTATCAGAACAGAGCTGAAAAAACCTTGGCAGCTGTTCAGAACACAGTGAGTAAGTTTGCAAGTCTTAACAGGTAGTACGTGTTCCAAAGCAAGTTCTTTTCTCACGTTCATTTCCTTCATCAAGTTTGCTGCTCTCATAGTCACAAATATATTAGTTTAACATTTACAGAACAAAGAATAAACATCCAACAGCGCCACCCTTTTAATTAGTTGTCCTCATATAACTTACAGATAGACAAGAAGGTGTCTGAAGAACAGCCAGAAAATAACCACTTTCTCACCTGATCTACGTCAAGAAAAAAAACTCCAAAAACATCCCTAAATCCAGAAAACCTACAATAAGGCAAATTCTCCTCCTCTTTACACCATTCTTTTAAAGCAGATAGCATTAAAAGAGACACAAATACAAGCAATACAAGTGCATTAACATTTTACCCATCAAAGGCCACTTGAGATTTTATAAGATTCCCACTGAAATGCAAGAGAAGAGCATCTTCAAAAAGAAGGAAAAACCTTTCTTTTCATTAGTAGAGCTAACAGTCTTTTTAATCTCCTGTTCTGTAATGCAGGATCTGAACTGCATGGAGGAATAGGGGAAAGAAACATCCCATTTGGTGCACGAGAAACAGGTTTTAATGGAGTAGTGGTTTTACTAGTAAAATAAGCATTCTGAACATAGTCAGTGCTTGGGTCTTTTGGAAATATCGGTAAGAACAAAATGGTGAACAGAAGGCAAGTGAGGCAGTCAAGGCAAGCAGGTCATCACATGGTTGCCCTCATTTCCAACAGGCAATGTGGTAATATGCAAGCAATATAATGACTGTTACTACAGCCCTGTTTTCAGTTACTGATGTTCAGCTGTTGGTACTTTCTGCAGTGAAGTTTTCTGGATTTTGCTTCCGATTACAGAAAGCATTTGCGTTGCAAAATTAAGTTTTATCTAAAGCCACTCAGCTTTTCTTTATAGCCTAAGAAAAGCAGAAAAAACCCACTTCCTGTTGCAGAAAGAGACAACCAACATTTTTATTAACAGCCCAGTCAAATGTTATTATTTTGCCATAAATAATATTTTTTCCATAGTCTAATCGCACCCCTCCACAAAGTTCAATCCAAATTATATCACTACGAAGAGGGTATTTGTGTGAGGGGGGGGAAAAAAAAAAGAAAAAAATCAACTTACATCCCTAATCAAGAACCATAGCAGATGTGAATCAGGGCTATGGCAAAGATACTCCAGCACCAAATGGCCTGAATCACACAGTAACTAGGGAAAAATGCTGCAAATGGAAGAAAATAAAGAGATGCCTTGAAGGTCAGACTAGGCCCACTTAGGCCAGTACCACATCTACAGGAGGCTGCAGAGCCTCGTGTCAAGCTGTGCCTGCATTACGCTCTCTCTAGCCAAGGCTCCCATTAACTCATAGTACTAACTCATCACCCTCCTTTGGCCCTGGGCAAGCTTGCCATTCAAATCACCAAGAGGAAAAAACTTGAAAAGGGATCTCAGAGACTGTCAAGATTTCTGTTCCCCAGTCCTGTCATGCCTCCACGCCCATCAATATCCACCGGTTCCTTGGGCGCACTGAGGGCGCGGAGCGCACTTTTAAGAATCCTCTGCTCACTGCCCCATCTGGTTCCCTGTTTTTTTCATTTTGAGTCCACAGCTCTTCCCCTTTATTTCATTTATTATCATCCAGATTCACTTATTTTCTCTTTCTTTTCCTTTTGTGCCCTTCTCCTCCTTCCCAGAGAGGGCTATGAGGCTTTGTTAGAGTTGGCAGACCTAACCTTAAAAGACGAAATCAAGAAATCAACAAACATCACCATTAAGAGATACCATTTAAAGAGACCACAGGAGCCTGGCCACTCCCAGAAGCCTATTCCCATGATACTCCTCCAGTAGCCACAATCCTTCACTGTGTTACAAACATCAGAAGACACATTCCTGCCTACTGCCTTTAATCTCTCTCTACTGTTCTGCTGTCCGTTAATTTGCCTACTATCATTCTCAACCTGCCCATACTCTCTGCCTCCACAACCTTAAGTATTTTATTTGTTTTCATCCACTCTCCTAGCTCTAGGATTAAGTACCCACTCGCTCCAGTTTGTGTGACTTGGTGAGTAAGAGTTCTGCATTCACTTTAATCACCTTCAAGATTTTGTAAGCCTCAGTTGTAACCTCACTTTAGCCTTCTCTCCAAATTGAAGAGTCCCAGCATTTTTGTCTCTCCTTATTAGGAGAATGTAGCAATTCCCTATCATTTTAACTGCCTTTCTCGGATCTTGTCCGGCTCCATTACTGACTTGTATTAAAAAAAGAATCCTGTTAAGAAATGACTTACCAGCATTTCTTCAGTGGCTTGCTGCCCAACCACACTGCAGATATCTCCAAAATTGGCTGCACATACCTTACAGAGAAAAAGCAAGAAATCAACCACCAAGATTACAGTTTAACTAGAGCAAAGTCAAAGGAGAATATAAACAGCTTTTAAAGCCAAATAAAAGTTTTTGGTGCTAACTCAGGATCAGATACTTCCCTATTCCATCAATCTCTATGGTTAAGAAACTAAAAATTATTTTCATCTTTTAATGCTTAATCAACCATTTTTTAATCATGAAAGAACCACCCCAACAGCTAGGTGAAAGGAAAGGAGCATAAAAACATTAAAAGTGCTGTCAAATGAAATAGCACAAATATTTAAAAGTAATAAGCTATGCAACGGCACAGTGAAACCACAACACACAACACCGAAATTCCGTGATGGCGTATTAGTTTATTTCATCTTAATGAACCTCTTTAATTATATCTACACACAGTGCTACGAGCTCAAGTAGCTGATAGTGTATCAGTTACAGGTGGTGCACATTTTCATAGCTACCTGAACAGTCATAGGGACAAGCAGCTTTTTTTTTTTTTTTTTAAATAAAAAAGGCAGGGATACAGAATAAAACTCGGCATCAAATATAAAATCTGGAAATCCGAGCTACAAAGAAGCCCCACAGCTTTCACTTTACAGTTGGCTCAGATGATAACCAAGAGGAAAAAATCATTCTAGACAAATCAAGTTTTAAGTTGGTGACGCTCCTTTTACAGATGATGTGAACCAGATGATGATAATTCATACCTTACGAACATGAAACATTCTGCAGTCACAGCACATCTCACAAAATCTAGGAAGAACAAGTCTTTCCGTGATGTCCTTTCCCACCATGGAGGCCATTTTGCACATTATCTAATGGCAAGATAAACACTATTTAGGAATGCCTACACAATACAGTGTCATGTCAGTTTTACAGAGGATTTTTATATTTGCTTTTCATTCCTATATACATTAATTTTATTGAAAACTGCGAAAAATATCCCCAAAATCCAGATTTTAGTTGAAAAGGTTGGGTTGCTTGTGTAAAAAGCATTTATTTCTTTTCACTCTCCCACTGTCACAATGCAACACAGTTTGCAAGCAAGGTCAATGGTCTTCACCAAGCAAACTAAATCAGAATCCTAACTAACGGAGATAACTGAGCTTACAGAAATATCATATATTTCCAAATAGACTTAGAAGTATCAACAAATAACCAAGTACAACATTCTCTCATGACCCCAACACTTAAGGAATTGTTTCTTGACAATTAACAAAAAATTAATGACAATGAAAATGGTCGAGTTACTTCTACAGCTTCTGTATGACTTTAAATTTATTAGCACTTATCATTACCCATCTACAATTCCCTAACATAAAATTACTGAAAAAGTGTATTATACCTAAGAAAGTGAAAGCTTTTACTTCTAACCACTCTTTCATTCTGATTTTTACTAACACCTTTTTTTAAAAAGGAGGTAATTGAATATAATTTTATAACACTATCAGTCACACTGGTAGAACTATTTAAATTTATTTTCCTATGATAATAAATGATCATTTTCTAACCGCTAAAAAACAATGAACATGGGTAAAACAATTTCCGCTTCAAATTTGATCTTCTTATGTACTTTTACATCTATAAGCTTCTTTGAGAAAGTACGACAAATTTAGTGCCAGTGCAATAGTGTCCAGTCTGCTTGTTGTTTACAAGCAGAGACACTTTATGAAAGAAAAATATTAGTGAGCCTCCCCTCCCTCACCCACAATTCACCTAGCATAAAACCATCCATGTAAACTGCAAAATTCAAGGGGAACATAAGGAAGCACATCATCTCTGGCATTTCTCTTTTATAAATTAACTCATTAATTTGCTTACTATTTTAATTCCATGCATAAGAACTTTTTTAATTACCAAAGCTGTATCTAAGGCAAACAGCTGAGTTAGTCAACTTAGCTGCTTATTACTTTTTCCCAATACAACATTAAAGGAAAAAAAAAAAAATCAATAAAGAGAGAACAGATACAAAGCAAAGACAAATAAAGGTCAAGCTTTAAGGATTTTCCACTGATGGAAATTTTCCATGCATGCAATTTAAATCCCCGTATAATAAACAAACAAGCAAAAAACAATAAGCTAACAACAGCACATGCTTCTTAAGTCAATAAAATTAATCTCTTGTGCTGTCTTGTCCAGGTGGGTTTTTTTCAGGTGGGGTTTTTTTTTTTTTTTCTCTCTCCAGGGCAAACATATGCCATTTAACTCAAATCCAGCCTTGACTGAACGTAAGACAGCATGGAAAACTTACAGATTAGTTATGGATAGTAATATAAATTTTTTTTCTCTAACACCACATTGAGGTGATTCTTGGAGACACCTAAGCATCACTGCGTTCAAACAAATTTCAGACTGTGTAATTTGGCATCACTATTACTTACAGCCACAGCTTCTGTCTTCACATCATCATTACTGTCTGGAGCTGTCAGTTCTATCAGAACAGGACATACTTTGGTCTCCACATCGTATCTCTCTATGAGTTCTTGCTCCAGTAGAACTAGCAATGCTGCCTGGCTTGTTTTTCTTACCTATCATAAAAAGACAAAATTGGACCAAGGATTTTAAGGAGACTTGGGAAGGGATGGGAGGAAAAGAAATACGTATCCTAGCATTTTGAAGCTGTACCTATACGCTGCTACGCACCTACGCTAATGGCATTGAGAGAGAGTGCACATACGCTCTTAAAGCGCTCTTTCCAAACATTTCATATTTGAAACAAAAAACATCAGATTAAGGAACATGTGCATACTGTAAACTAATGCAATGCTATTATAAAAGCGTCCGCCTACATACTTCCTAAAAGACAGGACAGCAATGCCAAGAAAAAGCCGTCATGGAAAAGCTAATGCAGTACATAAAGAAAAGTAACACAGCTAATGGGGAGTAACACATTTCTATGGAACATGAGTTTTAGCAAACAAGCCCTCTTTTTCTGAGATAACGGAGTCTGACTGACAAGAATTAACCGCATTTCAAATCTATTTTACCTCCTGAAAGACTATTTGGCTCAGTCCTACCTGACAAAAAAACTACACAAAAACGAGGTAACCATTTTTAATTGGCTTTGTACGTGGCTAACTATTACCTCTAAAAAAGTAAGGCACAGAGGTAAAAATTATTCAGTAGGATTGTTTCTACAGGGATTAGTCCTTAACGTTATCCATCATCTGCATACCTAGCACCTACAAATGCAAGGTCATGTATCTGCTGATCACGTGGAAGAAATTCCAGAAGTGATTGGTAGAAGTTTGCATCTGATTCAGAAATTGGTGGAGTTATGGAGAATGATCTATGTAATTTGAGAATACGGGCTTATTTGTACTACATGAACTTATCACTGACAAATCTAGGTCATGCATCCTGGAAGAAAAAAACATTACATAAGATGAGGGACTAGATGATATCCTGCAATGCAGTAACTTTGAAAAGACATTCTGAAACCACTGTTTATAAGCAAATAAGCCAAATGAGCTATGAAGTGTCAACAGTGGTTAAGAGGCTGAACAGAATAACTGAATCTGTAAGCAACATACCAAGCACAAGTATGGTTGTTACATTACACATGAATTAGCAAAACCACTACTAGAAAAATACGCCTGGGTTTGGTACCTGTTCTTAAATATTGAAAAGCTGGAAAGCGGTAAGAAGAAAAGTGACTCAAATTCAGAGGCCTAAAATACATATCCTTCAAGTAACGTACCACCTAGGATTAATCTACTCTGTAATCACTGAAATGACTTGCAGAAGCCTAGATAAAGCTTCAGGTGAGCTAATTCAGACATGCAGAGACACAACCCATACAAACCTCAGTGCAAAGTGAGCTTTCAAAACAGAAGTTATTAGACCAATATACAAATAACTGTGTATGTAATGGCCTTAGAAAAATGGAACTATACCAAGAAGTGAGGGTTTTTTGTAGCTACTGTCCCTTTTTTTTTTTTTTAAAACATAGAAAGTAAAATATGTAAGTTCAGAAAAATAACTGTGTATGATTTTGTCCAGAAAGACTAAATACCAGATAAAAGCCTCGAAACCAGTACAGATCATATTATTAAAAAAAATTCCAACTGTTTTCAGCTAAGTTTAGAGTGCAATGTATTTCAAGTCATTCAAAACCTTATTTACTCCAAAATATTAAACACTTGTATCATCCTAAATTATTCAGGCTGAAAAGTGCATACGAGGTATTTTCAACTAGTTATTTAATAAACTGTTTCTAAAAGACACTTACCTGGTTATTCTGGTCTGCAAGGTACCGTACTACAATAGGCAGTAAGTACTTGGAAAAAGCGTACGGGATTGAAGGTCTATTTTCTTGACAAAACATAGCAATATGAGGCACCTGTTCCATCAATTCTGCCCGCACTGTTGGCTCTGTGACAGTCAAAAAAAAAAAACCACAAATAAACAAACAAAAAATCCACACACTATAGATGTTAACAAGTACACTGCCAGAATAAACTTTTTACAGTCCTGTACATACAAACCCTGTTCTGAAGTTTTTATGTTGGCATGTTTATGTTGAGTTTCATTTTGATAGGAACCACACCTTTCTACAAAATCAAGTAAAAGTACATTATATACTGCTGAACGGCTACAAAAGACTGAATCCACACTCACGGTAAAAATGAAAAAAGGTATAGAAGAGCAAGCCATCAGGAATTATGAGCATCAGAATCTCTCTTCAAACTCCCTACACCCCCTGCCAACTTCCAAGTAGGTAATTACCTACTTCCTACTTCTGCTAAGCAGAAGGCCAACCCAACGCTGATACTACTCTGAGAAGAAAAGAGCCGAGGAGGCTCCTCGCCACAGCCTCTCGTGTGGGAAAGATTCCACTAAGCAGAACAGCCAGCCACAACACACATCATCCTTCCCATTCTTTGTTTTTTTAAAGCTATTGATGTTTTTGTTAGATGGAAACAGTCATGTATCTTTCTAGTAGCTTCTGGAAAACCTCTTAAGGTTTTTTATTCATCGCAAAGTTGGTGAAAATTGGTTTAAAGTGACAACTTAGGCTTGACGTCAACAAAAAAAGATAAAGCAAGCTCCACACTTTGTGTAGTCTCTTCACTGAGGACAATAAAACAGGACACAGCATACAAAGTAATAAAATACGTAAGGGCTCCATTTCTTTGGCTACATGCTTAATTTTGTTACAGAAAAACATACAAAAAATGTTCTGTGAAGTTTAGCAATTGCTGACAAAGTCCAAAATAAAAGATGAAGTCCCAGATAAATCACTTAATGAATAGGCTGGCTGTTGACACTACCGAAAAAGAAAAGTCTCCTAGACTACTAGCAGTAGTTTTTCAAACGTACTAGTAGTACATTTTCCAAAAAATGTAGTCAGAGAATCAAAAGTTATTCTCTTCAGTCCAATTTTCTAATGATCAGCCCAATTTTCTAAGGAGAGCTTGTAGCACCCCTTACTGTTAAAGTTGCCTGGTACTTCCTATTATAAAAACTCATCTTTCACGTGCCTATAAAACATTGCCAAAACAGCCAATACAACACAAGATACTAGAGCTAGAGTTCTGCCTTAGCACGAGGTTTCCTTAAGAGAAAAAAAATTAACTGAAGTAGATGAGATCTCTGAACTAAAGCTGGTAAACCAGCTATTTTCCTCTTACGCTAAATTCTGGTCCTCCTATATGGCAAGGCCTAGTTTCTTCACTTTTGGAAGAACAGCTTGAAACGCGACAGGGAGGGAGTACTTTTGCATCAGGAAGGTGCTGCTTCCATCTGTGTGAAAACTTGCCCAAAGGTGGCTAAGCTAAAAGGCCCTGAAACACCCTCTGTTTCCACCTGCCCAGTACCTGACAGAGGTTACAGCAGCTACAAGTTGAAGACTCCTTCCTTGCTGAGCATGTTTTGGGATCGAGAAAGCCATCACCACTGTGGACAGAATATACACAGCCCCTCTCCCAAGAACATCTCACTTGAATACGCTGCAGATGAACCTAAGAGCGACTGAGGAGGTGCTATTCCAGTGCTCCCAGACTAGGCTGAACACCTCCCGCTCCAGCCAGGAGCAAAAAACAATGCGCATACACAACAGGCAGGCTTCTTGCAACTCCCTTCCTAGTACCCAGGCAAATCAACAGAGGAAAAGCGTCCAATTCAAAGCCAGAAAACACAAAGGCTAGAAAAGCAGGTGTTGAAGCACAGCTGTGAAGAGAAAGAGCATAACCAGGAAGGGGCAGGCTGGACAAGGAGGGAGGGAAGGCTGAGAGGCAAATGACAATGAAATAAGATCCACAGCTAAAGGGAAGGAAGACTGGAACTTGCTGGACCAGAAACCGAAAGCAGGGCCCAATGCCAGGGCTGCAGGGACTCGCTTCCATCTTTCCCATAAGTCTGCTATTTCAAGACTTGCCCAGGACGCGATCTGAGGGTGCAGCAGGCTTGTGTCACAACATGTACCACTAGGATCTCTTTCTCACTTCTTAGGACCCCTGCCTCATTCCCTACAGAAGGTGGAAGACACTGCTATCTACTGAGAAGGGGAGGCGGGGATGGCAGAAGAGAGAAAGAGAGCAAGAGTGAGCACGAGCGAGAAAGACAGCGCAAGCGCGAGCCAGAGAGAGAGCCCGAGCGGAAGAGAGCGAGCAAGCGAGCACACAAGCGAAAGTGAGTGACAAGTTTGGCCCAGGCTACATGCTTGGCAGCAGTGCTTCTTAAATGGTTTCTGAACTTGCTTCTGGCCATTCCCATCCTCCCAAACCCAAAACTTGCAGTGGTCCTTTCCATTATGCCAATGCAACTGTTTGTGCAGCCAGTTAGCAAACCATATCCAAGAACTGATCAGGCTGATACAGCTCTTGCCTCACCACAGCAGCATGAGAACTGGTTCTTAAATTGGTTCCTCTGTGCAATCACACATTTCTGTCAAGTAGCAGAACTCTCTGATGGTAGAAGCAAGCAAGTGATGGTAAGAGGGAGCAGGGACTACTTATTTACTTATTCTGATAGTACCATTAAAATAGAGTGAAAGAAGTAAAACACGGCTGGGTAGGAAACCTGATCTGTTCCTTTGCAAGGGGGGAAGTGATGTAAAAATGCTTAAACCAAACTCTCCACAGAGTGAGTAATTGCACACTACTCATTTTGTTGGCTTCCTAATCTCAAAACTCTATGCCTTCACTGCTGAGAAGAGTGCTCACGAGTGCCATCAAACACAACAGTAGCTCTGTACTCAGCTTATCAAGAGCTATGTATAAAGCTTCACAGTCCCGGTACTCAAAACGGACAGATGGCTTTGACCCTGATATCTCCACATTAATAAAGCAATAGCAACACTCCCTTTCCCCAAACCAGCTAGATTTGCAGTGAAAAAAAATCCATGAATGCATTTAGTTATGAAGCACACCATTAAGATAGCAACAACTATCAAAAACATAAGATAGTTTTGTCTTCAGAACAGAGTTCATCTATTATGCATCAGTTAAGAGAGCAGCCGCACTGCAAGACAATACAGAAGAGCTGCTCACATTAAGCGAGAACCCTGCTTCCTGAGCTCCTAAGCACAAATGGGACCATGCAATCCAAGACTTGTAAAATTCACGCTCAGGAACAAATTAAGACAGTGAAGGCCTCCGAGTTCTTACATATCCTAGCTTTTAAGAACATGGAAACTCTGCAGTCTTGGTAAAGTCAATTAAAAACAAACACACGTTGTACGTGTAACTGGCTGTGTAGTGCATCACCATATTTCATTATCAAAAAAGCACTTGTGCTGTTCTGGGGAATTACTGCTGCTACTCAAGAATCTGAACTTTAAGTTTCCCAGTTTAGGTAAGAGCTCAGTTCTTCCAAATACTGAGGCATACATTCAAGCACGTACTGAACAGAGCCTAATCTTATGGTCCGACAGGGTTACAATAGAGCAGGTTTTTTGCATTATGTCTCCTAAACACCCAAGCAACAATGCCAAATACTTTCACTAAAGATACAGGCCTCTCTCATTGCCTTCATTCATTCCTCAGCTTCCTCTTCAGCTCAGAAGTTCAGCAGCTCTAATATAGATTCCAGCAGGCTTCAGTACATGACAGTGCTTGCCATTCCAGTTTAAATTTTTATGTTCTTTTTAATCAGATCTACGGCTTAGTCATCAACACAGGGAATGGACTGTCAAAGTATCCGCTAAAATTATTACATACAGTTACTTGAAGCATAAGCTCATCCAACTGGGGAACACATCTGTATTATACATTTTTGCACCGCACAATACAGTTGGGACCAGGCTTTCACACAATATAAACAAAATTTGGGTGGAGAATCTCACTTCACAGCATGATTAGAAGTTTCTATTTTAGGCACTCTGGAAAATTACTGTGTACGATTACGTTCTCCACAACATTTGCTCGTAGCAGTATTTTTCCATCTTGGCAGAGGATGTATTTTTAAATACTCTTCTTTTCAGATTTTATCTCCTGAATGTGCAAGTCTGTGCCTAGAATTAGAAGGCTACTAGAAAGAAACTGCAATTTGTCAAAAATAAAAAGTTTTAAACAAATCAGAAGCAGCCACACTTTCATATTTATTTTCCTCATTTAAAAACACTTTATTTCTTTCTATCATGTATCCTCTAGACACAGAATTACTGATTTGAGTTTTAGAAATTAAGCAAAACTAAGAATGATAAAACAAAATGAAAACAGACTTCCAGTTCTCCTCTTTGTGAAATAAATTTGAAAAGAAATTCCCAGAATAAAATGATAAAGTTCTACCTCCTTCAGTCTCCCGATCACCTGAAACCAATCATTTCTTCCAGCATCTCAAGAACCTGGGCAGACTTTGGTCTGCATATGTCAACTTTCTGTTTTTACTTTTCACTAACCATCATATAAACCAATAACCCAAACTGACTCCACAAGTGCTGGAAGTCATTAACTGCTCTTTCCCCACCAATTAAAAGTATTTTTATTTTCCCTAAAATTTGATATAATCTCTCTTATAAGCACACATATCAACACATTTATTTAGCCGGTCACGCACAAACACTTAGATTTCCTGTGCGCGTGCACGCGCGACTGCGTGCGCATGTAATGTTTATTTCAGCCCTGTGGAGGCATCAATTCTCACTGTATTCTGTTTCTGCAACGTTGAACCACCTGGAAGCACCACAGTTAGCTGTATACTGGAAACGAAAGGGGGATTACTGCAGAGCTGCACAAAATAATACCAGCTAATTGCTCCAGAACAGTTATTCGTAAATGAAGTGATTACTCCAGAGCCAAGTACTCACAACTATAGAATTATTTCACAATAGCTTACTCTGCAACACATACAGTGTTTGGAAGAAATTCTGCACAGCTTTCATTATCCTCAAATGGCCATTCTGGAATACAAGCAGCACTCTATTTCCCTTA